GACTGGAAGAAACTGAGTTCCAACACGTTGTAGTTGAAGTCTCACTGGAGCCACATAGAGGGCTGAAGCTGGGGAAAGCAAGCCAGAAAGTAGAAGGGAGGCCAGGAAGGAGGGGAGGGGTTGCTTCAGGATGATGGCCTCTGTGCCCCAACCACCTAGGGACAGAGCTGAGCTCTGGTTGTCCCCACTCCCCATGCCTCACTAGTCCCAGACAAACCCCGCCTTTTTCTGTGGACACATTTCAACCTCACCAAATTGGCTAATTATTGACAGTTGGTGAAGAGGAGATTTCACTTTTTCCTCCTGTTAAACTGCTCCTAATTAGTTCCCTGTCACCGCGCTGGCTTGCCCGCCCGCCGCAGCCCGTTCACAGTGCCTCATTAACCTTTTGCTCCTCTCCTGCCGCCTGCCAACAAGATGAGGACAAAACCAGATTGTTGAACAATGGTTCCCACTTGTACATCAGCCCTGTTCCCCAGCCCCCCCTGAGCTCCCCTGGGAGCAGTGGGGAAAAGAAGGGGATCTGGGGAAGGGAGAGTCCTGGAGGACTCAAGGAGTGAAGACAGAGGCACAAAAGAAGCCAGAGGCAAGGGTGAGGGCGGGCTTGAACTCAGTACTGTTTCTTCCTCCCAGAGAGGCATAGGGTTCTCTAACCAGGTTGGACACACTCCCAGGTAGGGAACACTGGCTATCAGAGTTGGAAGGACATTTATCATCACCCAGTCCAGGTTCTAGTGGCAGTCAAGCCCATGGGCCTAAAGACTGGATCCTGGATGTCTCCTCAGAGAGACTCAAGGCACCAGTATACATGTAGATGGGGTGGAGGGGCAAGAGGTGACCTGTTTGCCTGGAGTTCATAACCCCAATCTTCAGAGTAGGGCCATAAAGGCCACCCTAAATGAGGACTCCCTCAACTATGGAGGCCCCCACAACCTACCCCATCTAAAAGGGTTTGGGGAAAGCCATAGTAGAGTCCCCAGCTTTACTTCCATCATAGCTACAACGCTCACCTGACTTTATTTCAGTTTTTTTGAGACAGGGACTCATGTAACTTAGGCTGGCTTTTCAGACTCATTGTGTAGCCAAGGATGGCCTTGTATTTCTGATCTTCCTGCCTCAAACTCCCAAGTGCTAAGATTATAGTGGTCACTAACACACCCCTGTATGGTTATTTGTTTGTTTTGGTCTTTTTGAGACACTGTCTCCGTGTAGCCACAGCTGGCCTATGCAGACCATGTTGGCCTCAATCTCACAGCGATCCACCTGCCCCTGCCTCCCAAGGGTTAAGATTAAAGGCACTGGCCGCCACACCCAGCTTATTTATTTTTGACACAGGATCTCACTATGTAATCCTGTCTGGCCTGCCACTTGCTATATAAATGAGACTGGCTTCAAAGTTGCAGTGAATCTCCTGACTCCTGAGTGCTAGGATTACAGGTATGAGCCACCATACCCAAGGACATCTAGTTATTGAGTTTATTTTCAATACCAGAATGGAGGTGCCATGAGCCCAGGAGCCATTATAAGATCATCCCAATCACAAGAAGGGAAAGCACCCAGCCTGTATGGGAGACTGTAGGGCAAGGAACTGATTCTAGGTAATGATGGAACACAACATCTGGGGACAGCCTGATCAAGCCAGCCTAGCCAGTGCCTTAATGCAGCCTTAACCTCCAGGTCACAGGGCAGATCCTGTGCTCCCTATTTAGACAATGGGTTTGAGGCTTTCAGAGAACACAGATTCAGTTCCCGTCACCCACATGGCAGCTAACAACTATCCATAACTCTAGTTCCAGAGGATCTGATACCTCCCTCTGGCCTCCACAGGCATTATATGCATGGCTCCACTTTCATACATGCAGGCAAAACAC